ATGACTCAAGACATTCAATTTCTAGGAGGAGACTGAAGAACAACTCTAAAAGATAGAAATGCCTGAGATAAGAATGTAAAAATCTAAGGCTGGGTAGATGCCCATAATCTCTCATGTGTAAACAAATAGTTAAATTTATGTCAGGGAGCAGCATGTTCAGTTTTCTGAAGAAGACATGTTTCCCAGAAGGAATTACATAAATATTTATGAAAATGAAGCAGGAAATATTTTCCCAGGGTAGGACACTGTTCGGCACTGCATCAGGTCAGTAGAAGCTGGGGTTTATTTTGTCAGTCTTCCCCTGGAACTGAATCATTGCCCTCTTGTTTGCAAAAATCTGTTCTGACACAGGAAGAGGTTGCACTTATATAAACACAATTACAAACCACACTGAGTATTTCACTTTCTATCACATCTCTGAATGCATATGTGAATGACTTATATTTTTGGACAGCTTCTCTGAGTGACTGCCTGGAAAACAATAGCAATAGGTATCTCTTAGGCCTCTCTGGAAGGCTGGCACTGTAAGTCAAAGGTGTCTTCAACAGAACTGAAAACCTGCATCCTAACTGATAGAGAAGTATTCTCAATCCTAGTGTTCACAATAAAAGTGCATATAACACATTCCCTGTAAGCCAGGACATTTTTGCTAAGTGCAAAAGTTAGAAGTGCAAAGTTATAATGCCGTGCTACCTGCGTGAGCAGAAGTCACACACAGCTGAGGTCTATTTAAAAAAGGGAGTACAGGGTTCAGTACTGCTACTCATACAGCATCCAGTAGCTCTCTGAATCTGTGGTCTGCAACCCAAGCTCCCTCTGAAATTTCAGTGCTGACCAGCTATTCTTCTCCCTGGACAACAGTTGTCTCCAAATCCCTCCTACCTCACAGCAGACACTTACAGCTGGAATCTGGGTCAGCGTTTCTGTTTAGAGGCTAAAAGCTGAGGCGGATAGGAATGTGGAAGGAGAGGTAGGAACATCCCAAGAAGGGGCTGTAAGCTCTAATGTAGATCTAAGGATCCCCCAGAGCACCATGCCTGTGTCAGACCAGGAAAAGCTCACACCTATCCCTCAAGACACTCAACTCAACAGAGAGTAAAACTCATCAGCAGGAAACCAGGGGGATTATAGTTGAGAGGGGAACATATATTTCTATACTGCTGAGGTTGATAAAGCCTTTCAAATATCCAACAAGAATTATCTATAACCATTAGAGTCCTAGAAGCTCTGTTTACTAAACATATAAGCAAGGAGATTTTGGAGAATTTTGTCCTTCATTTGTTTTTTTTTTTTCCAGTTATTTTCAGGCATATCAAGATCTAGTAATTGTTTATATCTTACTCAGAGGAACAACAACTGGTGAAGACTGTGTTTACAGGCTCAAGTAGTCATTGAAGGGTGTCAAAACCAAAAATGAGGTTTTACAAAATAGCCCTAGGATTACTTTCCTCCCTACACTTTGCAAATCATGTGTTACTGCTCTTCCATTTTCTCTAAGCTTTGCCACTGCAATTGATGTATACGGTATGACAGACTGAAATATCTCAAATGATCATGACCTCTGACACCAGGAGAACTGAAACCACCCCAAAGTGGAGAAATACTCTAATTTTTTTTTTCTTTCAGATGTTCCCAGATTTACTCAGTACAGTAAGGTACAGAAGAGGAAAGTTCTCCTTAATACTCAGTTTGGGTTAGAAAGGATGCCATCAGACTCTCAAAACTGATGGCTGAATCAGCAAGATGTATTAACCTAGAGTCCAACCACAGGATCTGGGACTCTATAAATTATTAAAATTGTTTTTTTATGAACACTATTTCAGGATGTTATCTGTATTCTTTATAGTGTGTTGACACTTAACTACTAACAGCTGAAGAATAAGCAAATGAAGGAATTACAAATTTTGAAGGAAGTTACTTGGACTCCAAATAGGCAATGCATGACACAAAGATTACCTGACCAGTGCTCATCTCAAAGAACAGAATCTTTCAAGATATTCTTTTGCGTCTTAGAGTTTTCTTGTAAAACATTCATGTCCCTCAAAGTGTTTGCTTTATGTCTTTTATGTCTGGACAACGCTGTTTGTTTTTCTCTCTTGCCTACAGACATTTCTTTAAGCCTGATTCAATGAGAATTAACATGCACAATAGGCACTTTGCCTCATTAAATCTTCATCAGCAATGAAGCTGCTTGAAGATTTTTCAGTGAAACTGGTTTGATAAATACTGATTTGCCAAAAATCAAGCTTTTCATGCTAGTATATCAATTTTGATGGATTGCCTGCTAAGGGAGGTTTTCTAGCTCCAGGACAGTGTTTCTGGTCCAACATACAGTAAGACCTAACTGATTAGCATACAGCCTTGTAATAAGGGAATATAACCTTAAGGCTCTAGTGCAAACATTGGTTTGAATTAGGCAGAGAAATAATCTGAATCTGGAGCTCCTACATTTTAAGTGTCTCCGTTACCAAGTTTTCAGATACATTAAACTGAATTTCTCACTGTGTGTTCAGGAGGTTTCTGACTGTCATGCAGGGGGGAAGTAGGGTCTTGATTTATTTTCTTATGTGGAATGAGAACATTTGTAAATGATCACAGCACTATTAGAAAAATGTTCCCTGCTTAGTCCCAGACAGTGACTGAAGTGGCTAAACAAATGGTTTCCTCTCTCACTTACACTTACCCCTCTTTATCCCCGATAAATAACAAAGAAGTCGCTGTAAGTCTCTCAGTACTGTGTAACAGATAGCATCATTCATGTCAGTTTGGCAACAGTTCCCAAAATGCCTCCTCCAAAGCTAAGTACACTAGCTTCCCACTCCTACGCTCTCTATTCTTGCTCTTACGTTGACCTTCTGCTCACAAAATGGAAAGTGAAGAAAAAGATAAATAAAACAGATTTACAGTGTACAAGTCAGAGGCACAGTGCCCAACGCAAATCACAGAGGAACAAGTTTTTCCTGGTATGACTCTACTCAACTATAATCCTGCCTTTCTCTTTCCTCCCCCTCTAACTGTGTGTACCCATTATCAAGGCCACATTTGAGGGGGTTAGTTAGATGACATTCTTTAGGATAGAGACCACTATTTATTTCTGAAGTACTGTATACATTTTAACAAAAAAGAAAAGTGTTTTGAAAAGGCGGACAGTCTGTGACCAGTCTAGAAAGAAAGAGGGAGAGGAGTGCCTTGATGCCTCTTGGGACTTAGGCCAACATTTTATCCCAGATGAAAGCCTGAAATTGAAGCCTTCCTTCAACCTTTACAGAAAGGTATTCGCTTTTACATCAGTACTGCTATTTATTCTGTCTGCCCAAAGGCTGAAACATTGTAGGACTAGGGAATTAATACTCTCTTAAATAATGAGGAAAACCTCTGATAAGCTATTATCATATTTTGCCTAGAATGGAGAGCAAACACGCTCTCATACACTACACAGTTCAAAACCATGGTTTGGCTTTTAGAGTAGCTATGTCCTTCACTGTGGGTGAAACCAGAAGTTAACAAAATTACTGGAAATATTACAAATACTCATCTCCCCTTTCTTTTCTGCCAGGCTATGTCAGTCTTCTGTCCCTGGTTACTGTGCTCTCCTTAAGAGAAAGTTAGAGTTTTTTCTAGGAAGGGAGTGCACATAGAGAGATATCTGTCACAGTTCCTTTCAAAAGGAAGGATGCACACTACTTGTTCCTCCATCCAAGAGGCCTCCTACACCTATTTTCAAAGTCTCAGCAGCCAACTGAAAACCTGGTAGCTGCCTCATGCAGATTTGAACCAGCTGCAGCTTCCTGGACAACCCGAACATAATATTACATATGCTACACCACTGTCCCAGTAGATGGCCTTTCCCAGTGCACGGAAAAAGCGTTATGGGAGGAGGTGCTGCAGTCATTCAAGTTCATCTTGTTCTGTGTCTTCAGTTCTGAAGTGTGCCCTTTCTGTACTGTGTCTACCAACATAATCTGGGCTTGGAGCAAGCATTGTGAAGTTATCTCTAAGCATAAAACCATCACTTGTGGGTTTGGGGCTAAAATACCCATTGATCACATAAACTTTTCATTTGCCGCTCTGGGGACTGTGGGTACATGGCACCCAAAGGGTGTGAAATAGCACCAGTGATTTCCACCCACAGAGAACTGGCAGCTCGTCCGTGGTCACTGACAGTCCCCTTGGAGGAAAGCTTTTGTGGAAAAGTATCTCTATATGTTATATGGAGTTTGCATTACTTTCAACCCACAACCTGCCAAAAGTATCCTATAACTAATTAGTACACACTTGGATACCATACCAAAGTCTTTTGTCTCTTGAGTAAGTGAAAAGCTGAGCATAAAAAAAATCAGTGCTGAAAGGAAAAAATATTACAAAAGAGATATTCCCAAATGTTGAAGAAATTTTCCACAGCAAATGTAGCTAAACGTCTCGCAGATAAGAGATAAATTGGAATAAACAGCTGTCAGTGTTAAATAAATATCCTGGATAATGTGCAGGACAGAAATAACTACAGCATCGTCAAACTTCTTTCTTCACTTTATTTAGCTGTTCTTGCATGTAGCTCCCAATCTTTCCACTGCTCCAGTTAGTGAAGCATTTATTTTTGAGTCAGCTGCATTTCTTAAGACAGTAACAACGAAAGGCATTTCCTGAGAAGCTGCAAGGATGAGCAGCAAGAAAGAACAACAGCTAAGAAAATATGGGACCCTTATAGTGCTTTTTATCTTCCAGGTTCAGATTTTTGGTTTTGATGTTGACAATCGACCTACAACAGATGTCTGCTCAACACACACAATTTTACCTGGACCAAAAGGTGAGGAATTATCAGGTTGCTAATGTGGAGACCAGTACTGACAAAGGCTGATTTTTTAAAAATTAGAGACATGGAGGGTTTGTGGCATGGGCTGGGCAGGAAAGATGTGAATTACTGTGGACTGTACAAACATCTAGGAAAGTGGAACTGTAATGGGGGAAAATGATGAAGCAAAGACAGTTAAATTTGCTTTTCTTCAGTTTCAGGAACAGTGTCACATATTTTCATATAAGTTAGAGGTGTCCTTTTGCATCTTTCTCCAGCCATATAAATCTTCTCTTAACTTTTTGTGTTCATCACGCAACTAGTACAGCAACAAACTGAGGAACTTGTCTAAAAGTAGGTACCTATTGTGAACTGTTAGTTGTCTGCTTTGCACTTACAGATAGAGAGAGGTATGCAATATTTAAAATGACCGAACCGTCTTTATTCCCAAATGTTTACTTGTAAACACATCTCTCTCTGCTGCACTCATCAGACCTGATCCAGTAGCTCTTGTTGAATTAAACAGGACCTCAGCTACAGATTTCAAGAACTGGATCAGCCCTGGCATATACAGGTCTTTTATTTTCAAAACACTTTGGAAATACGAGAAATCAAATTTTCTGCATTAACTAAGCTTTTCTGTAACACAATTAATGTTGCTGGAATTGCCTGGAGGGTATCTTAGCAAAAAATTCAGATTCATGACATACAAATCTATCTTGTACTAACAGATCTAAAATATATATTCCACACCATGGCTATTGCAGTTCAAACTATTGCTTTCTTTTTAGTAATTCATTGTATTTTTCTATGGGTTACAGACTGAGAGAAAAAAAAAGTACAACTGATGTAAATTTAAAGCAGAAAAAAGATTATCAAATCAAGAGCACTGCTATAGACTCATTTGTTTTTATGATGGATTATTCAAATGCATGTTGCTTAAAGGACCATTTTTAATCAGCAAGTTAATTTCTTTATGATTACAATCCAAGCTTAAACTTTTGCTGCCACAGCATAAATGCAGAGAGATTTAATGATCCCCAAGGGAGCTAGTGGGCGTTAGTTTATTTAGTATCTAAATAATGGCAGGCTGGAGAACAAAGTTTGACAAGACTGTGTTTAACAAGTCACAAGGCTAATGAGGTGGTCTCATGAAAACACAGAGTAGCTGGAACTCCGGCTGGTTTCTGTGGTCTAGTTTGTATAGGGAGCATTTGAAGGTTAGGTATTATGGCTCTTTGTAAGTGTGGTGCTGAGAAAGTCAGAATTTAGTTATTAGCAGTCCTACTGCCTCCTGGCTGACACCAAGACACAAGATGAGACAACTAACGTATTGGCATAGCCCGCACTACCACTTTAGATTACTATGCCCAAGATCCATGACTGATAGAAGGAGTATCAAATAAATCACCTCCAAATTACTGGCTCTCATCCACTGCAGGTCATTAAATACTATTTTGCAGACTATGTGATGTAATTCTATAGATTAATTTCAGTTCCTACCAGAGCTGAGCTCATCTAGGACAGTTACAAGCAGCTCTCAGTGGCACTAGTTTTAACTACCAGTTATCTGGGCAACTGGAGACCAAGCAGGCTGAGTGTATGAACTATCCTATTACTCCTCAGGCACCCCTTGTAGTCAAGTATGAAAAATGCTGACCTAATATGGCAGAAGAAAGTCTGTCCTGCTGCCAGTTTTCCTCTATTCATCTTATGTCTATGAACTCAGAGCACATGATCCAAGCTTATGACCACAGCCACAGGCAGCAGTTTGCTGCTTAAACTCTAACCTCAGTAGTGGACAAGCCTCTGAGTTTTGCTGCTGTAGGTTTTATTTCCTGTGCTACATCTGTTGTGTCCCTTTGTCCACCGTTCTCACAAAAATGGGTTTTGACCCACCTGGCACAAGTTTCACCCCCTCACCTCCCTCTGCTCAGCATCCCAGCTATGGTAAAACATGGTGGTGCTCCCACAAGACAGAGGTGCTGAGGTCACTCAGTATATTGGCCAGCTTTTTCTACCACCACAGGTCAGATTCCCGTCGTGGCAACTTCCTCCTTCCATGACAACATGGAAGTGTCTAATGGTTCAAAGCAACCAGAAGTCAAAGGAATTAAAAGATATTCAATAGCTGTTAAGACTTCCTACACTGTTCCACCTCACCTATCCCAGTGCAAGGTACAAATTGTCCTGTAGGCTAGACCCAGTCTGTGTGCTACGAGTGGGATGGCTCCTGGTTCTATGCAACAGCAATACTGCCATTTCCATCACACAGCCCAGAGAAGAGTAGAAAGCTGAGGGAGAAGTGAGTTTGTTTGAAGAGGCTCAGAATTTATAATCCTTTATTGCTTGCACTGTTGGGGGCTGCATTTCTCACTTCATCATCTAGGCATTCACAGTTGCTACAGGAGCAAGCTCCCAACCTCTCCACATGCTCACCCTGAAAATTACCTGTTTAAGAAGGGTCATTAGTGTTGTGAAATTAGGCCACTTTGTCCACATGTAAGCCACATGTAACTCATCCAAGTTACTTTGTGCAAGGCATATTCTTCCCCTTCAAAAATATACTATTTGGTATGCTCATAACTGAGATGTCCCAAGAGTAGTATGACATGAGTGACGGGATGTAAAAAAAAAGGGTAATTCCAGGCTAATTATCAGGAAAGCCTTCAAACCACTTATGACACTCGCACCAGCTCCCACAAAGCATGAGGCAAAACGAGAGGCCATCGTGTATAACACTGAGCTAGAAAATACTCTCGAAGACTGCAGTCTCCCAGCAACAAAAGGAATGTACTAATGTCCTGTCAGCCTTTGCACTTTGTATAGCAATGACAGAAGTGGGTCCGAGTTAAACTGCTCAGTGTGACAAACCATCAGGGTTCAGCCTGACCTCTGGTGGTTCACGTGATGATCACCAGGCGCCCGCAGTCCGTGCCATCCATCTGCTACTTTCCATCGTTGGTGCAAGAAAATGAAAACTGAAGTCTGTTTGCAAAGAATTATGCAAAGAAATTTGCTAAATTGGCACTCCCTAAAAATGGGAAATTAAAAAAAAAAAAAGAATAAGAGACAGGCAAAGGCTGGCAATTTTCTCCCAGTTTCCTTTTCTAGGCAACACTCAGATTTCTTCTCAAAAAGAGGGGATTATTTTCAATGAAAATAGCCCCACTGCAATGGTTGTCTAGTGTTGTCTTTCTGAAAACGCTTTTGAGATACACAACAATCTGGCTTACATGGCAGTGTGAGGCATTTTCTAGGGTTCTTATTGAAATACCCAAGGAACAAAACAAACAAACAAAAAGTACAGATTTTCAGTGTTTCTAACTAGTGATTTTTGGTGTTTGATCTGAATCTGAGGCGTTAGGAACACCTTGGTCCTAGCTGGGTTGTTGTGGCACAGGAACTGGGCTGAAAATTTACACTAGGTAATGCTGATCCACAGCTGAGCAACTGGGGCAATAAAGGCCAAGTTCTGTACTTCATTCACTTCTTGGGTCCAAAGAGAACAAGATCAAGCACAAACAAAACAATGAATTTTCCAGGGCAGCCAGATGCTTGGCCTAGCAAAACTAGTCACGGCCCTATTGCTTGCTTTCTACCCTTCCAAGCTTGGAAGCAGGCTGGCTGTTCCTGCTGCTGAGAAAGGATCTGGGACTGTGGGGAGGCAACAACTAAACAGTTAGAGCAATGGCACCAGTTGTTGGTCCATGCCCTGGCAGCATCAGGAAAACCAGGCTCTGCTCCCCTGGGCTCTGTCCTTTCTTCCAGCTTGCTCTTGCCTAGAGACTGCAAGCTCAGTTCTGTCTAACCCACAAAGGAAATAGACAAGATGAGATTTGACCTGTTCTGAGGAAATCAATAAGCAAGAACATGAGGGTAAAAATAAGCAGAGAACCCAAAGCTTTGACTCCTAAACTCCCATTAAAAACATGAGCAGGGGGAGAAGATGACTGGGGTGGGGGTTGGCTCTGTGGAAGCTCATTTCACATGGATTCAGGGGAGCTCAGCACTTCAGAAGGTTGGCTCTAGATCTTGCTGTCTGTCCCAGGTCCCAGCTCATTTCCTTTGAAATCCAGACACAGAAACTTTGAAGGTCTTGAATCAGATCCAGGTTGAGAAACTGAAATGAGATGAAATCTGAAGAGTACTGGGAGTTTTCCCCAGCAATTTAGATGTTTCCTTATCATTATTTCTGACAAGTGATGCTTATAAACTCTTTGACATTGGCTGTTGCCTCAAAATAGCATTTACTGTGGTCTCCAATATAGCTGTCCATCTCTCAACTTTAATTGTGCTTACGCAATTTCACTCCTGGAAAATCTCAAACTCTCTCAGAAACCAGATATGCTCTTATGCACATTTCCTTCCGAAAATATAAAATGCTTTACCACATCCTATAAGCCGTTCAAAACTATAGCTAAACTTCCCTCTTAGTGCCTCAAGTTTGATCTGAAGAGCCCTTTAATTTCAACACATAATTCTTTTTTTCATGGTTTTTAAAATTCCTCATTTTAGTGTACATTAAATTTCTGACATTTATCAGCCTGAGCTACAAAGCATGTATGTGGGGGCTTAAATACATAAATTCAAATGATAGTGAGTCTGTATTTCTTACCAATGGCAGTCTGATTCCTCCCTGAAGCCAAAATAATTAATGAGTCTCTGAGACCATGCCAGAATGGCAGGGAAACAGGCTGGGAAAATTAAATCAAACAGATGAGGTAAAAGGAGAATCAGGGATAATTTAAATTATTTCTGTTATTAAAGAAATAATGTATGTTCCACTCATGCACAAAAGCCCCCAGTTTCAAATAATATAAGTCAGCAGAGGTTCACTGAGCCTCCTGAAGGCTTAGGTATGACTCATGCAATGCAATAGGAGTGGAGGGTATTCCTACTGAAGTCAATGGATATTTACAAGTAGAAAAGCAAGCAGAGAATTCAGGTTTTTTTGAAGATTCTATTTCACAAGGAAAGAGATTCTGTTGTCTAGTTTGAATCTGGGTGAAAAA